ACCTAGTGCTCGTGCTAGTGCCCCGCATTGCTGGTTATCGCCGGCCGGAATGCTCTTCACATTCCCAACGCTGTAGATGGAGAGCGTGTACGTAACACTAATGGGAGGGATTGAATGCTTGGTGGTGGTGCCTCCTTGCATGGGAGGCTGCATGCCCGTTCTACATGACCCCGCACCGTGTCCCAGCCTTGTGCACTGACTGCAACGATGTACATACCGGCAGGGATTCCACCGGCAACCCAAAGCGGAATTAAACGCAAAGCAGATGTGCTTAGTCCAGTGGTTTGAAGCGGCCTCAACAACTGTATTCGCAGAAGTATTAACCGTAGGTAACAAGCTGCCACCCGCAGCGACAGTAACCCACAGTTCCATGTCCATGGTAGCCCATGAACGGGACAGGTTCGCTTCCATATGCAGGTGGAATTGCTCATCGTAAATGCGCCAGCCTAGGCCAGGGAATTGCACAGCGGCCATGCAAACTATTTCTGCATATTTTAGCAATTCTAGCCTCTGGCGTGGCATCTTGGAAGGTAAAACCCCTCAGTTTAGCCCGCCGGCAAGTGGGACAGTTATTCCTCCGACGTAGGCCTATGCTATACACTCAAGAGAAACACTGCTCTTACAAGGCCAAAATGCTGGAGTGGCAGTTGGATGAAACAACAATATTAAGAAAACTTGCTACAGCGCCTCCCGAAATAACCTCGTATAGAATTGTTTGATAACAACTGCTATCGAAATGGCCTTTAAAATCCTAACTTCTCTGGTGTCCTTAGCCTGCTCAATACTATTTACAGGTCTTTTGCCTCTATATTGACAATAGGCTGCAACCTGGATCCTGGCATGCATAATGTGTGCCTGCTGATGAGAATAATGAATTTTATCTTAAAGTGATGAAATGAAGCATTATTATTTTTATATATTCTACCTACATGTACCTTGATGAGGAGCAGCAGGTCTTCTTATCATTTTAAGTACTATTTCAGCCTTCTGTTTGTCAATTATCCTGTAGGCTTTCATTACATTTATCGTATACTTACATGTACCTACTCTTTTCTTACACATGTATCATTTTGTATTTAAACTGTTTATCATGTCCTTATTTATTGTGTAATTATTGTTTATTCATTTAACTTATTTAATTTCATATTTAATTGCTTACATTATGTTTATTCATTTCCAGTCATTCCTCTTTTATATTTAATATTTTTAAGTTCTAACTATTGGCTTCAAATACTGTTATATATTCGTATTTTTATTTAAATTTATTTACTCTGTACACAACTTGATGTGGAATGGCAGGTCTTTGGCCACAGTGATTGTCATAGCTTTTGCCTCTCCTTTGCCCATCTTGTATGTGATGAAAAAGAATAAGCATGAATAAATAATAAAACACGCCGCCTCGTGCATGCTGCATCGTGGTACACACACTGCATCTACACCCACCGCGACATCCTGACTGCTACTGCATGCCCATTCATGGTCAAATTGCTGACTTTTCCCAATAGCCATGTGACCACAGAAAGTGACATGTCATCAGAAAACCCAAGTGAAAACAGACCTGATATGTCATGCCGAGCACAATCGGCATAAAGACGAGATTTGCTACATGAAGATACACCTACAATTAAAGCAGCTGATTTTATTTTCGGTAGAAAGCAACCTTTTGGTAAGATACTACATGATGTAGTATCTCAATGTTGATTATTTTGTGTGCCAAACTACACCACGAGAATAAATAAAAAGTGGGCAAATAACCCATGTTGCCACAGCAGAGCAAGTTAAGTTTATTTTAAGACACAATTCATGTGCTCCGTGACTTCATAACTCGGGGACAACTTTTAAAAATTTATTCTTCAACATTGACAAGTATTTATTTATGGTAATCCAAGAAAACCACTGCGCCATGCAGACGCACCTCGCCGTGGTGAGCATGTGCTCTCGATAGCGCTGCATGGAGCGGACGGCTTGGCTGAGGAAATCGCTACTACTAGACTACAACTGCACACTCCATGTGGTGAGTTGGCCCCGACCGGCCCCAAGCGCAGCACAGCCTGCGTAATGTGCATAATGGACTCTTCACTGCATATGTGCGTGGGGCCAGCATGGAGCATTTGCTGCACCATGCTTCATGCTTTCGCATTTTTCCGCATAATTTTCAGAACCTTTCCAACTGCTTTCGCAAAATTTTCACGCCGTGTTCGCAAAACATTTGCACTGTTTTCGCACGTCGTTTGTCCCTTTCGCATCCAATTCACTGCAAATTCACGGGGGGGGGGAAGTTGTCGTCAAAATGCCAAATGCGAATTGCTTTCGCATTTTTTCCCATTCCTTTTCGCAGCATTAACTTTCAAATGCAATGTTCATGAGATTTCTTGCGCACTCTTTGTGATAAAATACTGCATTTTGTTTATTATAATTGTCCAGTGGTAGCCAACTTGTTGTTGGCCAGTCTTAGCCAAATTCATACAAAGACTTTGAAAACTGATGTTTTGGAGAGACAAAATAAAATTACAAACATTGCATGGATAACGGAACAGCGTGTCAAAGTAAAAAGTTTGCTGGCAAAAGTAGATCTAATGCTAGAGATTTTTCGTTCTTTATTTCCTGGTCACAGTGATAAGTTCTAGTTAATTGCAAACAAAATAGGCAAAATTATGCTAGGATATTACCAGTCCCCACTTGTATGGCTAACCTGTAGGCAGTAATCGGGCATTTTTGGAGTGTTTATTATTGTTTGTCTGACCAGGTGGCAATGCTCATCAGGTACGTTGAAGTGCCAGATTTCTAACTCATTCGGTGTCCTTCCTCTATGATTAAACTATGCAGTGGGCAAATTAAATGAAGTAAAATTAAATCATGATAATAAATCCTTCGCATCAAATACACTTACTGAATCCAAAAAGGTGATTTAATCAAAACAAGTGGACAGAATTGAACATAAAAATCTTGTAAACCCAGATTTTGTGTAACACATGTGCACTCATACTTCTTTAACCACAGGCTGCCAGGTGCTTTAAAAACTGCTGTGCACACATACGGGAGATATTCCAGATTTTCAGTTTTCAAAATTCTTCAAAAATTCATAACTTCATTGACTCCTGAGTATTTCAGCCAGGCCTGCCGCCCTGTAAAGAAAGCCCAGAATTGTGGGGTGTTGCGTAATTTCCCTTGTCCCCAGTGAATGCGAGTGGCATCTTTCAAAACACGGCTGGATTAGCATGCAGCAGTGCTGTGTCGCTCATCAATGGGGCCCTGGAGAACTTTTGTCCATGGTACTAATCCGTGGGCACCCTATGCCCAAAACAGGGGTATACTGTTTGAAAACAGTGACAGATTACCTTTGGAAAATGCAAGCCGAAAAATGATGGCAATTCCCAGCAGCAGGTCTTTTGTTCAGAGTACTGTCTTTTGTTACACGGACCAGCTCTTTTGTCCCATTTTGAGCACCCTGACTCTGCGTATAAACCCATGGTGCTCGAAATGGGGTTCCCCAGCAGGAAGTGGCTAATACTAGTAACTGGAAGGCTCATGGGGAGGGGGGATCTACTGTTTGAAATGTGCAAAACCTGCAAACATTTCAAATCAGTCAAAAAATATTGAAACATTTTGTCTTTTTACCCCAAAAATTAAATATGTTGACTTAAATCAGTGATTTAAAAAAAAAGCCATTTATTTAAATTGGTGATTTGCTATTTTCGTACCACCACTTTAAAGACTTTACACCTGCAGCTTTCCTGTGAAACAGAACTATACCCTTAGCAACCAAAGAACTATATCTGTATCAATAGGCACCGTCAATATCGTATATTTGCCGATATCAATTTTGCGGTTTTGTATGTCGATATTATTGACATATCAAAGTTTATTCATTTCAACTTTCATAACAGTATTATAACAGGCGTGAATTGCTGATAAAATTCCCTTTAGTGACATATCCCAGTGTTCGTATTGCGTACATTGCCTACAGGGAATGGGATACACGCAGCCGTGCATAACGATATCTTCAGCACGTAGTATTAGCTTACGTACTTTTGGTTAACAAATAATTCTCTGTTTTGGGGATAAATTTGGTGATTTTTTGAGGCAATGTGTATGTGAATTATTGAGTGCGAGACTATGGTAAGATGGGTGACTGAATTTATTCTTCATTATCATTAGTATTAGCCAACCAGAGTATAAGCTACAAGAACATTTTTCACTCAGTGTGAGAACAAACATAAGCCGTGGCTTATCAAAACTTATGATAATGTGACGATGCACCTTCGTATTTTTTAGGAAAGTTTGTTTGCTAAGTAGTGATATTTTCAATATCGATGTTTTCAAACGTTTGATATTTTTGATATATCGATATTACCAAATTACTAACATTGGTGATATTGTTATCAAACCAATATCGACAATATCAATATATTGATAGTCGACAATGCTTACGTAGTAACGAAACCAGGACAAGTGCCCGGCATGTATTTTGTCTCATACCATGAACCATGTTTAAACCTTTATCTGTCACTCTCAAATAGGTTAACCAGGCTCTGTACCAGCTACAAATTGAATAAGTTAAGAGAACAAAGATGCAAGTAATCAGGTCAGGTACGTGTATGTCACACACTGTATTGTATGTTGTTGGTACACACTTTCTAACACTGACGCATTGCTCTCTGGTGTTTTCATTGATTTTTAGCTTAAATTGTAGAGAATCTGTGGATGAAATGTTATAAAACAAATGGTGACTGCTTTATCTCTTGATATAGTAAAACTAGTCACCCTGGGTGATCCATGAGGCATTCTATTTTCCTGAGGCAAAGCCAATTTGCCTTGGGCTAGTTTTACTATACCAATGGATGCAGTCAATGTCTGTATATTGAATATCCTAACGATGGACAGAGCATACTGTCCAAACGTTGAGTACCCTCTGGTTCTTTCAGAACCACACATATTCAGAAAGAAATATCCTTACACAGTGCTACCGCAAACCTCTTTTCCTAGTTTATCCAACTTACTCATTGGTGGCCTCTGTCACCAGATGCCTCAATAACTCAACTGCAGTAGGTCTCTTTTCTGGATCCTGGTGATACCAAAGAGATAAGCTGTCACATCTTCCATTCGAAGCATTTTACAATTTCTCAATAGATCAGATATGAAATGTGGAAAATTTACATGCACTTCACAAATATCAATCTAGAAGTTTCATGACTAATTAAATTGCTATTTAATGCAAAATCCATGCCAAAATCTCTATGAACTCAGAAAATAGTCAACTAATCACATAATGGCTTGCACTGTTTTAAATGCAGTGCTTCCCCCAAAAATTGTCTGTCTAGAGAGTATGAAATAAAAAACCCCAGAGTTAATTTTGAACATTTTTATTGTGCAGATACGATTTGCCCTTGCTCATGCCTTTCTCAGTGTTACTCAATTTCATTCACACCTGACTCCACTATGGTCAGTTGATCATAACAGCTTTTTGGATGGTAAGACTAAATGTGAAGAGTAGCCCTGAGTTATTTTGCTGTCTTTTTTTCTTTTTTAAGCAACAACTGTAACTTTTTTTGTGGAGACTCCAGGGCTATGGAGGTACACTCTTGATCACTTGCCATCTGACACCTTGGCCTAGGCACAAAGCCCCAAATGCCTTCCCTTCACACAAGATAAAGGATATTTACGCAATCGACCTAACAAAGCACTTCATTTTAATAAGGCATGATACCTGGGCACAGTTCCAAAATAGGCATTTATTTGAATTGTACATTCAGGAATCAAGGAAATTTTATAAAACTACTGGTTTAGATGAGGAGCTAGGAGTACCTGCTCAATATAAAAATCTTACAAATAAATTTTGTGATTTAGTTGTTGTTTAATAATGAAAGCACAGATGAACCCTTTCTGTGGGGCATAATGTATACCTCTTTGCACTTCATAAACACACACACACAAATAACCGCCAACATTAGGTCACAGAAAAAAGAGCTTATCTTCCTTTTGTCTCTTCATGTTGTATCACCTTTTTATTTAAAGAGGCCAATATCCTAAACCAACAATAAGACTCTTTCCTGTCAAGTTACAGAAATAAATGGTGCCTATAGGCCTTTTCACACTACACAAAATCTCTGGGTTGGACACGGGTCTAACCCGTGTAAAAGTCACCAACCTTTTCCCCCTACACCATTTGAACATGGCACTAACCCGTGTAGAGCGGTTGACCCGTGTCGAAACCAACCCTGCTCGGGAGGTGGTTTGAGAGCTCTCGACCTGTGTTGAGACATCCAACACGTGTTGAAAGCCATAGTGTGAACTTAAGTGGGTTATTGTTCGACCCGTGTAAATATCGTGAGGGCGAACTCACATGCACACTGTCGTAATAGGATGCCAACAAAAAAGGAATTTACCTTTGACGTGCGACATGCCCTTATTTTTGCGTGCATTCTTGGTAATCGTACTGGCTTTGATTTTGCTCTTGCAAAAAACATCCAACATGTCAGATAAATTAAAGGCTTTCAATCTGAAAAAAGGCCGACATGGAAAGAGAAGGTGAAGGCTCTGTTGGCAATTTGGGCTGACAGCTTCATCCAAAGCCAGCTTGATGGCACGACAAGAAACAGCAAGTCGTTTCTCAAAAGAAGCAATTTGACCCGTGTCGGATGCGCGGGTGTTTCGTAAGTGTGAAACAATCACACAATACACGGGTCCAAACATTACACGTGTAGCAAAAATGCTGGCACTGTGTTCAGCAGTGTGATAGTGGGTGTGAAAATGGGGCGGAATTGAACCGTGTTGAAATTTTAAGAAGTCAACATGGGTTGGAACTGTGTAGATTTCGACATTGATAAGACGTTCATAGTGTGAAAAGGCCTAAAGTGTAATATGTAACATTCCACTGTAGATAGCATGCAAGGTAGATACATGTAGAGTCCATCACTGCTAAAGCGAACACAACAGGGTCCGCACAAAATGTTTATTGTAGTGGAGGTTCGGTATAGCAGTTTCAGTGGCTGATACATCCATTCCCAACACTGGCCCATTCAACATATGGTAGCCTGCCTCAGGAATGCTTCTTCATAAGGATTTTGGGTTAACACTTCCAACTAACAAGCCAAAAATCAAGTTAAAAATAAATAAAACAGAAATTCAAGTATTTTGTTTGATATACATGTATGTTCATTTCCTTCAATATTTTACCTTTCTGGTAATTCTCACTGGATATCCAATTGCAAAATGAAATCAAGTTTCCCATATGAGTTTTCCTTGAGTCATTCATGTCAAAATGACATGCAATATGCGATGCAGTTAAACTCATTTTCCCACTGCTAAATTGGAACTATCATTGGTGGGCCGTGATTCTAGCAATGGAGCCACAACGATACATGACCACAGCTGGCAACATAAGATGCATACATGTATGTCAGGCAAACTTTCTTAAAAATTACTGAAACTAACAAGATATCTAATGAAGTTTTCGGTGAGTGAAGTCACAAAAGCTAATCTGTCTGTGTGTGTGTTTTTGGTTTGATGATTTTTGAGGTAAAATCCTTGCTTCTGTAGTAATAACACAAAGCAAGAGTTTCCACATCACAATAAATCCACATACAAGCGGGCTAGTCTACACACATACATGGTCACACATGCATACATGTACATGTACCTACAAATGATATCGATTGTGCCTCATGTTGGCTATTGTTCCTTTGTGAGTGAGACTGTCCATCCTAAATCATATTTAACCACTTCGTGCCGGGGCATTTTCCAATGTTGATGATGCTGGGCCGGCATGACAATCATTTTTTCCGTTTTCAAAATGCTTCAAAAATTCATCATTTCATTTAACGGTTGTTTATAGCTGCACGAAGTAATCTTCAGGCACTATTCTAAGTTGATAGGTGACTTTCATTGACACCCAAGTATTTCAGCCAGGCCTGCAGCCTTGTAAACAGAGCCCAGATTGTGCGGTGTTATATAACTGTCTTTTGTTAGCAAACCCGGCTCAGTGCACTGCTGACCTCTTTTCAATAGGGGCCAGATTAGCGTGCAGCGGTGCTGTGTGGCTCATCGCTGCGATGGTGGAGCGCTTTTGTCCCCGGTGGTAATCCGCTCGCTCTCAATGCCCCAAAGCCTGGTATAGGGTTTCAAAATAACGCTGGATTATCACCACTTTTGAGAGTGAAAAATGTCAGTAATGCCCAGCAGCCTGGTCTTTTGTTCGGAGTACGGTCTTTTGTTACAGGACCTTGTTTCCTTTGTCCGAGTTTGGAGACCCCGGCCACGCATATAAACCATACGTCTCCGATCCCGGGGTCCCCGGCAGGAAGTGGTTAAGGCAAATTTCAGTATTTGGGAATGTAGTGATATGGGGACAATGAAAATGATACATGATTCAATGATACACGCCATTTTGTTTAGTATGGTGATCTCAGAAAAAATAAATCCATTCTTTGTCTGTCCTCCAACAATCGTTTGCAGTCCATCTGCATTTTTGGTTTTACCCGGAAATGTTTGACACAGAATAAAAGGTGTACAGATTTAACCACTTGCTGGCAGGTATTTTGAAAATGCAGTGCACAAGAGGTATTTAAGATTTTCAGTTTTCAAAATTCTTCAAAAATTCATCATTTCATTAAATGGACGTTTACACCCACGCAAATGACTCTTTGGTGGCTACTCTAAGCTGACAGGTAGCCTTCATTGACTCCTGAATATTTCAGCCAGGCCTACCGCCCAGTAAAGAGAGCCCAGAATTGTGAGGGGTTGCATAATTTCCTTTGCCCCCAGTAAATGCGAGAGGCATCTTTTTAAACGTGGCTGAATGAGCATGCAGCGGTGCTGTGTCACTCATCAATAGGGCCCTGGAGAACTTTTGTCTGCGGTGCTAATCCATGGGCGGTCTATGTCCAAAACAGTGGTATACTGTTTGAAAACAGTGACAGATTACCTTTGGAAAATGAAAGCCAAAAAATGATGGCAATTCCCAACAGGTCTTTTGTTCCGAGTACTGTCTTTTGTTACATGGACCAGCTCTTTTGTCCCATTTCAGGCAACCCGGCTCTGCATATAAACCCATGGTGCTTGAAACAGGTTCCTCGGCAGCAAGTGGTTTAACAGCTAACCTTGTGGTACCTATTATTGAGATGAAATAAAGTATACTCACCTTTGACAAAAGTTGACGTACCAAAGACTTCATCTCAGATGAATACATAGCATCCAAGGAATCTGTATCAATTTCCTTCTGCACAATTTCCCAAACCAACTTAAGAGGGTTCTAAAAACAAACAATTTAACATCAATCACTGTCTGCAAAGAAAACTTTATAAATGGAACTTCTACATTACAGCAAAAAAAAAATCACATAAAACCCTCAATAATCAGGGGTGCACTTGCCTTTGAAGTCTTATGAGCTATAAACATAACTTTGAAATTATTTGGGGCAACTTCCTGCAATGTGTTCAAACCATCACACTTCAGGCAACTGTTGCCACAAAAAACAACAGTAGGTTCCAGTGACATATTAATTTGGTCCGATTTTCCTTTTCATTTTTAGTACGGTGAGTGGAGGTAATAATGATTTACTAGAATTTATCACTTTTTTAGAACTTCTAAAAATTTTTGTGGGATTTTTTGAGATTTTTTTAGTAATTATGGTCAAATCATTCACTCATCACCCAGTGCCAGATTCAAGGTGCTGAGTGAAGAGCAAATTTGTATACCCGTCCAAGTTACAATACCCCATGAATACTGAAAACTGAAGTAGGAGGCCTATGTAAGTCTATACATGCATCCTTCGGTTTGCAAAAAACATGGAATTTGTTTGATTTTGTGTGCCAAAGCACATTGTGATAGGCCTTTGTATAAAAATATGTGTTAACAGTAACAAAAGTTCAACTTTTGGGTTTGACGAACCCCCCCTATCTCTGGTCAGGCAACCGGCCTGAAGCTACACTTATTTGAAATGATTATTTCTTTCAAAGACACTATTGAGATACCTACAGGTGATTCAAAAACATAAGGGTTAGGGGCATCATAACATTAAAGATATACTCCAAGTAAACTAATTTAGATACACGTCTGTTTTGTGTTAGTTATAAAATGAACATGAGTGGAACATGAAATAAAGTAATGCATCTGTGTCCTTCTGCCTCGTGGTATACCAGACACATTATTCAAGCAAGCATGACATTGAATTTGTCTTCAAGCAAGCTTGGCGCAAGGTAAAGATGGTACATTATAGGGGCCTATGCGCACTGTACATGATATAAATAAATAATTCGAATGAACTAAAGATACACACGTCAAAAATAAAAACAGGGGTGTACCGCAGCTTAATAATTAAAGGACTCATTGCACAATGAATTCATTGTCTTTGATGTCAAACTTCTTGTTGAATGGTGGTGCCCTCAGATATCCATTAGACTTTGTCTTAAATGTTCAAGAGTTCTTGCTCAGTAGAACACACTTTCAGTTGATCTTGCACGCCATAAATAATGCAGGACATTCAGTGCACCTGGCTTGCCCACTCAGAAGTTTTGTGCTTCAGATTTTCCAACAGATACAATTTCAAGACTCATGCTGCAGAGTTGGTAGCTGCAGAGTGTTTTTATGCATTGTTTTGGATTTCTTGGCATTGATTTCTTCCACTAAATGAGCTGCAGAACATGGCTTACTGACTAAGAACTAAGGAGGATAGTTGCTGTTGCATGTGCCGAGACATGAAAATCTGAATCTTCAGTAGTGGGTAATGAAACATAATCTTGTCCACAGAAACCCTTTTATCCCCTCAAGCTGTCTCCATTTGTGCTCATAGAACGTAAATGTTCGGAATAATTTTAAAGCTATCACTACTACAACTTCAGTAGTAAGTGCATGGGTACGAAGCTGCTTCCAAATGTCTTAACTCCGAACAGGGCCCAATTTCATGGTGCTGCTTACCATTAAGATAATTCGTTGACTTATCATGGCACAAAAATTTGCTTAATTTGCTTTGTTCGGGTTCCAGAGTCTTTAGTTTGAGGTATGGACAAAAAGATTCTTTGCTCCAACTTTTAGATCCCCTCAACCTTCCTTCCCTTTGCTCCTTTATAACCTGGGCATATAAAACCCTCTTTGCTGCCCAGGCTCCCCCATATCTCACCCATCCCTCACTCACCCGTCTCACCCACGCAATTTCTTTCTGTACAAACCTATTTCAAAGGGCTCATTTCCCCTTTTATTTTGCTCCTGTCAATTGGCGAGCTACTCTAAGCATGCTTTCAAGGCAAACGGGGCTCATTTCCCTTTCACCCTGCTCTTCTCTGTCAAGAGGCAAGCCACTCTTTGCCTTCTTTGATATAGCCAAGGCACAAATGCTTGAACTGCTCACATAGTGTAGTTTGTGTGTATGCAGGGCCAGCAGCCAGCAAAATGGCTTTTACTAGGGCCGGACTAAGATTGACCCCCAAAAGTAATTGATCGACATGATGCTCAGATGTTGCTTCCCCTTATTTTTATGATAATATCAAATTTTGCCATTGTTTGCCCATCCTCATCATGTACCTTCAAAGAAACGGAGTCAGAGATTTGGAAGAGAAGCCAACATTTAGAGGGCATTTCCTGTTTTGCCAGGCTTTTCCGTGACTTTTCTATGCTTCAGTCTTTCATTTGGCGAGTCTATCTTTGCTTTACTTTGACAGCCAAGGGGCTTATTCCTCTTTCAACCAGTACCTTCAAAGTAATGGAGTCACAGATTTGGAAGAGAAGCCAACAGTTTCCCACTTTTGCTGGGATTTCCCCTGACTTTTCCCTGCTCCAGCCTTTCCTTTGGCGAGCTCATCTATGCTTTTCTTCATTAGAGCCAAGGGGCTTATTCCCCTTTTCCTCATGCTCCTAGCTTTTCCGTGGAGTTAAACTTTGTTTGCTTTCCCTCTTGGACTAATGGGGGCTCATTCACACCTCATCTGCTCCTGCCTTTTCGCTGAGCCAATCTTTGATTTCTGTCATAGCCAGAGGGCTCCTCGCCTTTAAATATAATTATACACACTGATATACATGTATATAAATTGTCTTTTCCATTTCTACAGTATTTGTTACTGTTTTAAGACTCCCTTTTTTGGGAGGGGGATGTGTTAAAACTGTTGCGAAGACATAAAGCTAAAATGGTTGGCTATGATATAGGTCAATCACCATCCCTGGCCATGATCACTGGGGCCCTGATTGCCTTTCATTGCACCAATGCCTGGTCGACCGGTCCCTTGTACTCCTTGTACACATTCCATCATGGCTCAATCAGTGCAATGTCAACTTTTCCTTTTTTTTTTAACACAGAACCCATCCTAGATGAGTGAGAAAGAAAGTGTTTTGGTGTTTTCCGATCAAATATTAGCCACAAAACCCTAAGAAAACAACACCAACAAATAAAATCAAGGATGGCAGGACCAAGAGTAAAGCTTTAATTTGTATCCCCAACATCATATTCAATGCGTTCAAAACTGCATTTCTCTCTTGAATTTGCCCCCCGACACCCGAAGCTGGATCTGCCCCTTAACCACTTTTTCTTACTTGATGGTCTTGTATGTAATGCAAGTGTTGCATTATCCACTTTCTGCCGGAGACTCCAGAATCGGATACGTATGGTTTATACGCGTGGCCGGGGTCTCCGAACTCGGACAAAGGAAACAGGGCCCTGTAACAAAAGACTGTACTCCAAACAAAAGACCAGGCTGCTGGGCATTATCGACATTTTTCACTCTCAAAACAAGGTGATAATCCTGCCTTGTTTTGAAACCGTATACCAGGGTTTGGGGCATTTAGAGCGATCGGATTACCACCAGGGACAAAAGTGCTCCACCACCGCAGCGATGAACCACACAGCACCGCTGCATGCTAATCTGACCCCTATTGAAAAGAGGTCAGCAGTGCACTGAGCCAGGTTCGTGAACAAAAGAAAGTTACATAACACCGCACAATCTGGGCTCTGTTAACAAGGCTGCAGGCTTGGCTGAAATACTCAGGCATCAATGAAGGTCATCTGTCAACTTAGAGTAGTGCCTAAAGATCACTTTGTGTGGCTATAAACGACCGTTAAATGATTTTTCAGTGTTGGCACACGCTAACAACCTCTGTGCATAACACCATTAAGCATTTAAAGGCTGTCTACCACCAACGCAGGGCCAGCTATCTCTTGAAAATGCCTTTGCACTTGTGTATTGTTGAGTATTTAACCTAGGGGCCTGTCTATCCATTTAGTAATTACCATTTCTCGTATATCCACCATCATTATTATTCAGTCGTGACACCATAAAACACTAATCCACATATGTGTGTCAGTGTTTTCATAAGATTTTGCAAGTGTAATAAACCGGTAACCATCTTCATAAAAGTATTGCACTGAGGCTTCCCCAAAGGTCCACATGGACATCTTCCCGCTCCAATGGGCCCCAAACTGATCATCATAAAATGGCGTGTATGGCAATTCAACCCTACTTGCAACAATGTCACTTAAGTCTGAATGGCCCAATGCAACAATGTCACTTAAGTCTGAATAACCCAAGCAACCTGAAGAATTGGACTAACAATGCATGCACATTTGACTTTAAGCACAAGCTATATAGTTGTTCAGAAAGTTCAGATAAGGCTGCAAGCACATGTGTGTGGCACAAATCAATTAAACAGCGTAACAACTTTTTGTCCTATACGTTCTCCAATCCTTGGTCAAAGCAAGGGACAAACCAAAGGATTATGCAACCTCCTATTGTGATTGTGACTCGGAAAAGCAGTTGCCATAGACCAAACAATGAATTCAATGCAAAATTAAACCCAAGAAATGCACACTATGACACTGGCTGACCTAGATACTATACCTATGCAAATGCACTATTCTAATGTAAGCAAATGGTCGAAATGTTCCTTCACTGAGCCTGTAAAGGCTACACACCCTAGCCCTTTAGGTTGACATTCCGTGTTTGTAATTAAGTCAGTGGCAAAAGCCAAATATGCCCTTCAAAACAAATGCTTTCCACCAGAGACCTTGTTCGCCCTGAACTTTTCCTGCCATTTTTCCTATTAAAATCCATCCATCTTAGATTAGAGAAGCACCGTCAAGGTAATCCCGACCGGGTCCTTCACATTGTGTGATAAATTATACCTAACATGAATTATCCTCACACAGCATTAATCATATTCTTTACATAACTAGTCATTAAACAAGGTCATCTCATAATAAAGTGAAACATGGAAAATATGTTTATGTTGTCTTTGATAGGTCTGCTGTGCTGCCCAGAACAACTTGCAAAACCCTGCACACATAAGACTACTAGAGTCGATTTTGATACTACTCGTTGCTTAGTTAAGACCTCTTCCACAAGGAAGCTTCCATGATGAATGTAATCTCGGGCTTGTGTGGTGGGTTCCTATACGCTGGGGGGGGGGTTGTATTAGCTGTGCCCTCAGCCTGGTATGTGATAAAAGAACATTCATGCACATACACAGAGTCAGTATGCACCGATTAAGGTTGTATTTGTAGGGCCGCTGATAGCGCCGCACCCTCCGATCTTAGCAGCTGCTCCCCTCACAGAATGCAAATAGCGAGCCAAATGAATGAAACCTGAAGAATATTCTCTTGTAAATACTGAAATGCCCCAAAGAGATGGAAGGAGATCTAACCATGGTCTAAACGCCTCACTCCCTGGGCGTGCAAATTCAAAGACCAAAATGGGGTTTGGATATCTCCTACCTGTTCTCTCTGGATTTAAATAAACCTGCCCTCTTGCACCAACTCTACCTCCACAACAGAGGGAGAATGAACCATTAACCTCATCCACATGGCCTTTGCTTAGCGTGAATTTAAAACTCGCGGCAAGCTGACCAATTTAGAAGGATCATGGAAATGGCATGAGCACAACCGAAGCGAACATGCAACACACACGACCTTGAAACAACCTGATTTTAAACCGATGGCTACTTGTACCCTCACACTCACAGCGATGCAAATAGTAAGCATATTTCACTGTGAACATTTTACAGTTGCTGTGCTTAGCAAAAAAATTGTAGTGGGTGTGTATAGAGATTTGCACAATTATGTCACTAAGCAAATTTTTCCTCTGAAATAGCGTGCCTTTTGTTGTGCTTACTGCTTATGGTCTTCATGAATGAGGTGAAGCCTCTGTTAGTGTTAAATCATGTGCTTAAGCAGCATGGTAAAATTTAGCCCAGCAGGAAAGTAACAAGTCTACAGGAAATAGATGCAGTTGGCCAACATTTTCTGAGGGCCATAGGTTTTCCAGCACATTTCAAAGCTTTTTTGTCAAATTCATACATGGGTAACTTCAAATTTGTCTCTTAAATTCACCTTTCATATCCCATGTTTAATTTCATCTTCGGTTGCTTCAGTTTTGCACTTTGCTCTGATAATTGCATACATTTATCATACTTTGTCATGAAAGACCTTTTAATTTCATTGTCCACATTTGTTAAAACGATAAATGAAACAATTTCATTACTTGTGAACAAAGTCTTATAATATAAATTCAATTCAAATTTGTCACATGCTTGTATATTGTCCTTGGTATCTTTATGTTTTCATTTGTTCATCTCTGCTTTAAGCTTATTTCCTTCATTTCTGTGTGCCTGTTTAGTATTTTCCTTGTTAAAAATGGGGCTATAAACTTAAATAAGGAAAATTTTATTTTTTCCATACTTACATGTATTTGTCTATTCATTTAGTTCTTCAACAATTTTATGTGTCAACAACTGGTAGAAATAAGGTCCATATATAGGCAAACAAAACTGTATACTTTCCATATAATGCAAGAAATGGGTAGGTTTTACTTATGAAAAGCAAAGTGTATATATATTTTCACATCTTTCACAGACAGGTGATTCAGTTCTTCTTATCCTTTGGATTGGTTGATCAACCTTCAATTTCTTTTCTTGCAATACACCACCAAATATGTCTGTGCAAGTGTGTATACTATGCACTGAATTTGATCAAAACATTCTTAAAAAGTTAGAAGAGAGGATAACCACTTCATGCCGGGGCATTTTTCAATGTTAATGATACTGGGCCGGCATGAATGTCATTTTTTCCGTTTTCAAAATCCTTCAAAAATTCATCATTTCATTTAACAGTCATTTATAGCCGCACAAAGTAATCTTCAGGCACTACTCTAAGTTGACAGGTGATCTTCATTGACGCTTGAGTATTGAAGCCTGGCCTGCAGCCTTGTAAAAAGAGCCCAGATTGTGCGGTGTTATGTAACTTTCTTTTGTTCACGAACCTGGCTCAGTGCACTGCTGACCTCTTTTCAATAGGGGCCAGATTAGCGTGCAGCGGTGCTGTGTGGCTCATCGCTGCGGTGGTGGAGCACTTTTGTCCCCGGTGGTAATCCGCTCGCTCTCAATGCCTCAAACCCTGGTATATGGTTTCAAAATAACGCTGGATTATCACCACTTTTGAGAGTGAATAATGTCGATAATGCCCAGCAGCCTGGTCTTTTGTTTGGAGTACAGTCTTTTGTTACAGGGCCCTGTTTCCTTTGTCCGAGTTCGGAGACCCCGGCCACGCGTATAAACCATACGTATCCGATTCTGGAGTCTCCGGCAGAAAGTGGATAATGCAACACTTGCATTACATACAAGACCATCAAGTAAGAAAAAGTCCACTGGAAGTTGACAAATTGAATGGACAAATATTTAAAAAGATCAACCATTAATCATTTGGAATGACCAATGACTACAGGTTTATAGTAGCATTTGGGTCATTTTATTAATGTAGGTTCCAACATTTTTCTGTCCCTGTTACACCTAACCTGCATAATTTGACAAGAGATATTTAATTAATTGAAATTGACTTCAAACTGTCGTCATTTGTTTGGCAAGTAATTTGCATTACATGTACTAATCACTCTTGGAAATTATAGTACAAGTTGTAAATTTACAAATCATATATTTCAGACGTAACAAGGACATGGGAAAAACTGGACCCCAAATGTGTAGAATGGCCCATTTTGTGTCTGCAAGTCTTCTCAGGATGAATTTAAAGGTAACTGTGTATGAATTTGAACCAAAAAATGTGCAAATGTCTGGCAAAACCTGAATTTTGGGCCTTAGGCAAGACTTCAAATACAGCTTACATACTACATACATGTACTGACTTCACACAGATTATTTCCAAAGCTTTGTAAATATGAATCTTTGGAAGCAGCAAATACTTCTTTCATTAGGGTAACTAACACAAAACAAGTGTTCTATCTTTAGTGTCCTTCCAATGTCTTGCCATTAGAACAAATTCAAAATCTCATCTCCTCTTTTAATCTGTTGCAGTAAAATCCTCCTATAACAAAAGTCATTTCACAGCCAACTTGTCTATTTTTACACACTGTGGGGTAAAATACTTACTGATGCATCAAAACTCCGTCTGAGTGACAGTAGTTCATATAACACACAGCCTATTGCCCAAATGTCACTTTTAATGTCATACCTGCACGAATACAAAAGATACAAGAACATGTAAGCTTTATGCAAAGATAGACAATTAAATGTTGTACTTATTGTACTTCTTAAAAATGTATCGTGGTCACTTTCCAAGTGGACTACTGTATCAATTGGGTATTTCTGCTTGTCACAGACTATTTCTAAACCCTGTATACTCATTGTTGCCCAAGGTTTCTGGAAAATTCATGAGCTTTCATAGGTGGTAATCAAACCCATGCACTAAGGCTTACTAGTGCAAACAGAACACAATTCTCCTTGATCAGTACAAGCACATAAAACGAACAACTTTTACATATCCCTAACCAGACATTTCTTCTGTCTGTCAAGAAAAGATCAAAGCATTTATATCAGGTTAACTCAGATTATGTCAAGAAGCAACATACTGTACATGTACATTTCCTTTCTTTTGAAAATATGTTCCATATATCCAAAACCACCATAAATCTTATTTTAGCAAAGTATTTATTTCATGACACTTTGAAAACTTCACATGAATTTGATAAAAGACACAAGTTGAGTGAGCAAACTGTACAATGTACTTTATTATGGGATACTTACTGTTGACCCCGCATGAGCTCTGGGGACATGTAGTACGGAGTGCCTACCACCTGCAACGATACAGGGAAATTGTGTACTTGTCAACTCATGCATGTTTAACAATAGAAGACTTATACACTTAAATTTTTTTCAAAATCCCTCAGTAAAAGTTGTTGGCCCATTAGCAGCAATGTAAAGAGAAATTACTTGTAAGCAATCTAAAGACTGTAAACTGTTGGGATTATTTTCTCATTCATTATAGTTTCTTTCCTACCTCAGCATCTTTTAATATCTAAAATGGAAAGAACCTGAAATATGCTACTTAAACCATAATACACTTTCAAAGTTGTGGTTTTTTTGCATTAACATTATCTTAAATCCAACTCCCATGCTGAAATACAAAGTCTGATTTCAAAAATAACTTGAAAGTTTGCATAGCAGACATCATAATGTGACAGAGGTTTGCAGTGGAACCACATGAAATCTCTTTTGTGAGTCTGAAGAGAACTAGTGGACTCAAGTAAGCTCTTTCTGTGGTCAGTGGGAAAGCATACTATCTGAAACCAAGTCCAACCGGTTATTTTCAGAACTGCACTCACTCACAAGAGATTTCACTTGGTTCTAGCACACACACCATCACACAAATTCAAAATATCTACTCATACAATGTTCGCTTCAACCTCATGCTGCCGGGTGTTTTTAAAAATGCAGAGCACACATATGGGAGACTTTCAAGATTTTCAGTTTTCAAAATTCTTCAAAAAGTCATCATTTCATTTAATGGATGTCTACACCCACACAAATGACGCTTTGGTGGCTACTCTAAGCTAACAGGTAGCCTTCATTGACTCCTGAATATTTCAGCCAAGCCTGGCGCCCTGTAAAGAGAGCCCAGAATTGTGAGGGGTTGCGTAATTTTCTTTGTCACCAGTAAATGCGAGTGGCATCTTTTCAAACGTGGCTGGATTAGCATGCAGCGGTGCTGTGTCACTCATCGATAGGGCCCTAGAGATCTTTTGTCCACGGTGCTAATCCGTGGGTGTGCTATGCCCAAAACAGTGGTATACTGTTTAAAAACAGTGATGAATTGCCTTTGAAAAATGCAAACCAAATAATGATGGCAATTCTCTGCAGCAAGTCTTTTGGTCCGAGTACTGTCTTTTGTTACTTGGACCAGCTCTTTTGTCCCATTTCGGGCACCGCGACTCTGCGTATAGTCCCATGGTGCTCGAAACAGGGTTCCCCGGCAACAAGAGGTAAAAAAAGTCCTTTAACAAGACCACAGTCTTCATACAAGTGCTTTAATTTTGTAGGCTTTCTTTTGTTTCAAGACTAAAAAATAAATTGTTCACTTAACTGTTTCTGCTACTTCAGTGTTTTTCAATACTTTTGAGATGCCAAAGTCACCCAACTTGATCAGGTTCTGCTTTGTTAAGAAGATATTCAATGTCTTGATGTCTCTGTTAAGAACAAGATTACTTGGAACAGATAATTCCAGTGTATCAAAGATCAACATAACAGTATAAAACTAAATTATTTCAAACAAATCAAATTCAAAGGTCATAAAATTTAAAAAATGTTGTGTTTACATGTATCAAAAATGCTTAGACTAAGTGATTGCTGCTATTGAATTATTACACATGCATCATGAGCGGCACTTGAGAAAAGAGTACCATATGATCCAATCCACTCCCAGCAGGAACAACTGCATTCATCAACTTGTTTCGGGGCTGATGTGTTTCATTATTTTTGCACTTGATTTGGTAGCAAATTGGCATTAAGAGGCCACATCATTTCATTAAACAAGTTAGATGGAATTTCATGCTATTCATGGTGAAGGACAGCAACAGGTGGAAAGGCTTGCTGTAGCACTATGCGAAGGAATATATCTCTCTTATGAGTATGTGTGGTTTAGAAAAGAACCAGGAGTATACCCAATATTTCGGACAGCGTGCTCAGTCCGTTGTCAGGAGACTGAAGAGAGGCTGAAGATGGGGCTGTATATATATAAGGTGGCTGGATGCAGCGTGGTGTGACGAGTGTCCTAGTAGAGGACCCATTCAACTGGGAGGTGAGCTGGGGTTGCCAGATGTCACTGATGGAGAAACCGATGTCTTGGGGAACGGTGTCGTGCTTAAGGATCTCCAAGGCTTCTCTGATGTGTCTACCTACCAGTTCTCCATGCTAGTGATGAGGTGGGCTTGATCCCAGTCGATGCGGTGGTCTTCGGAGTTGGAATGCTTGACTATCGCCGACTTTCATAGTCTCCCTTCCTGCCATGGACCTGAGTCTGGTGGGGAGGTCCCTACCAGTCTCGCCAATATACACTTTGCCACATTGGCAAGGGATCTTGTACACCCTTGGTTGGTGGTGTGGATCTTGTCGGTCCTTGTGGGATGTCAACATGCTGCAGATCTTGAGAGGAGCTGTGTGGAACACCTTCATGCCGTGCTTGTTCAGGATACGCTGGATGTGGTGGGAAGTACAACCGAGGTAGGGAAGGGTAACAGAACTAGGGGCCTTATCTTAGTGGCTTTGGGTACAGGAGACCCTTCGGCCGGGAGGGGATCTTGGTCTTGGGTCTTGAGTCTTGATCTGCTGGAGCTTGTAGCCGTTGTGTTGAAGTGTCATGGAGATGTGGTGCAGTTCTTCGGTGAGGTCACGCAGAGGACACCCCCACCCTGCCTATGGGTCTCCTGTACCCTCGGCCCTCACCCCGCACCTACCTATGCCCAACTTACATGCCTCCCGACCTGCAGGACCCTGTCCCGCATGAGCGCCCACAACCAGCATCCTCGTCACACCATGCTGCATCCAGCCACCTTCTATATACAGCCCCATCTTCAGCATCTCTTTAGTCCCCTGACGACAGACTGAGCACGCAGTCCGAAACGTTGGGTATACTCCTGGCTCTTTTCTGAACCACACACACTCATAAGAGAGATATATTCCTTTGCATGGTGCTACTGCAAGCCTTTCCACCTATTCAACAAGTTGGTGGAAACATCTGATGGGACAGTCAGAATTAGAAGGCATTACATGGCGGCACCATGCACGCATGAAGGTGATACATTGTCTCAAAAGTGAATGGCAGTCATCCATTTTGATGTTACTTTGAGAGGGTAACAGAATGAAATGTAAATGAAGCAAGCTTTTTTCACCAATTACGCAGTGTGAAAAAAATGCCAATATGGCAACAGCGCATGCTCAGTGACCTTCGATTGGAACAAGTAAATCAAAGCATGATCAAGATCCAGTGCAAATGTGATACAGTTTATTTGTTGTTATAGTAGCTCCCTGTGGTTTTATTCCCCTTACAATAATGTAATGTGGACCAGGATCTTATCCATATCAGATCCTCCTCTCTCAATTCCCCTTTCAGGAAGGTAAAAATTATTATTTCAAAATTAGTTTAGTCTAATTAACAGATACTTCAGGTACTAAACCATGATGTACATTTGCCCCATCACTTCAGGCAACCACCAGTGAGATGCTTCATCACTCGCTTTAATACTGTGACGAAATGGCTTTAACAAGTTTAAGTTTCAGTCAATGGTGACATCATTCTTATTTTTGTATAGGCACAGAGAATGTGCGAGACCACTGTACTGGTACCTGTGTACATTAGCATTAATCTGTGCGTAATTTCCCAGGTAAATGTACATGTTTAAGACAGTGTGGGACTGGCGTAAATTTATGTTTTGTCTAGTTTGTTCCATGCCACGCATGGTGCAGTCAGTCTAGTCTAGCAGAAGTCTCGAGGCAGTCTGGAGGCCTGGTTCAGTGAGTCAACAGCACTAGTGTGACCGCTTCTTTTGTGTGTGTTACCGCTGACAGTCTGCGAGCAATTCAGATACTGGTTCCGTAATCTAAGCAGTTAGTAAGTAACCGTAACGATTAAGAAAAGTATATTAAATAAGTTGATCTTGCCGGTAATATCTTGTGTACGTACATATTCATTGTTGTGCCAGTCGACCGGGTCACCAAATCAATTACCAATCAGTGGTATATTTCCGCCAAAACAACCCTGGACGTTAGATTGCTCATCAAACTCAAGGTCAAAGGCAGATAGTTTAGGTTTAGGTCAGATGACTTTCCCCACAGTTGGAGACAGTTCACCCGGACTGGCGGGACCTAGGCTGGCTCATGGGAATAAAATGCCACAATACATTACTTGTGCAACTTACCTGTGCAATATACCATTGTCGTGTATGTGATTAACTGCAGATGCAATTTGGAACAAGTACCACACAACTTCCTGACAAAGAAGATAAAAAGATGTTTCAGGACAATATGAAACAAAGATGCCATGGTGTCAATTCTATGTATATCAATACAGACTACTAAAGGGTGATGCCATTTTGAACCAGGAAGTGTAGTGCAAATGGATGGAGTAAGTGCATGCCTGTTGGTTCCTGCACTGATTTTCATGCGAATGTTTTTACATGCATCAATGTGCGCACACATTGGAATATCCTTTTGGAGAAAATGCTTTTTCGGGACCATAGGGCATTGCTGCAAGATGCCCAAAAACCAATTTCCTTGGTGCACTTCTCGGATCTAAGTGGAATCACTGTCATTTGTTGGTCGAGACCATGTGGATTACAAAATCCACAATTCTAAACTCACCAGTTATTTAAACATTTGCATTCTAATTATGAACATATAATGGGGTACCCTCTGTTGACAAGGGTTGAAAAACCATGTACATTTCCTTTGGGAAGATTTTTTATTACTGGTTTGTAACAAAAGGGACTGTTAGTGTCTGTTTCAGTGGTAATCATTGTTTTCAAGTGAAAAGGGATTGATATGTCAGCAAGTTTATCACAATTCCCACACACTAGTATCAGTTGTTACGAAGTCAAAACACAAATGAGAATAAATGAAATCATTTAATGATGACTACTGCTTTT